TTAGAATGTCTGCATCGTCGAAGTGGAAGCCTAATGAGAAATGGGGGACGCCGGTGAGATGGGAGGACCTTTCTGTCATGGAAAACAAGAACACAAATGAGGGTTGTCGGTGTGCGGGCAATCGACTGGACGGTTTTGGAGCCCTCGATTGAATTGTGGTACGACGAGGAGCGCCTGCAAGTTCTCAACCTCGCCAAGACAGCGGGGAGTGATGCAAACAACGCAAGACAAGGCAATGGCAAGTGGACCAAAGCGTTTTACGGGTTGGGGATAGTTCACATGTGGGGGGAGGGTGGGCATGAGGCATCAGTGGCATGCGTGGCGTTCTGTTCTAATAACGGCCTGACACGGTGCACGAAACAAATTGAACGAAAGAAGGTGTCATCGATGGAGCAAGACACCACCATGCAAAGGGCAACATTGAAGTATATCAGACATGTATGCAACGAAATCAGAGATTTAATGTTGCGCTTCATCAACGAAAGGTCGAGGATCATCATTCACATGGCGACGACTTTAATGACATGCCACAACGAAGATGGGCAAAAACAGAAACTGAAAAAAACTAACACAATAACAAAGTTTAATATTGTCGATCATATTCAACGGCGCGAAAGTGGCAAACGGAACAACTTGCAGTCCGTCTTGCGTTAGTGTCCGCTTTGACTGCTGTTCCGCAATGACTCGTGAACTCACGGTCACAGTTTCGTACTTCGTCTGTGTTTGTGATGCCTATGTTTTTGTTTTCTCCAATTTTTATTTTTTTTTCATGCAGTATGGACCCGGAATGGATGCAGAGGCAGTTAAGACAAGATTGGTGGGGAACGCCAATCAAATGGGGGGAACTGATATCAGACCGGCTGATGAGACAACGATACGCCATCGGACTTGTCACGTGGGATTTTGCATATTACGAACCGTCACTGCWCTTGTATCCTCTAAGCGCAAGAAGAAAGATTTACAACCTCGTGGGGGTGTGCGACTGTCAGAATAATAATAATTACAAGAACGACGGGAACGCAAGATACAAGGAGGTCTTTTACGGTTACTGCCTTGTGACTGCCCCGGTGACAGAGAAATGCAGCGCCACCATTGCATGTGTTGCTGTGCAATATCACGAAGGGCTTACAATATGTGCAACGAAGACATGGAGACAAAAGATCCCGYAGAGTGATGCAGSAGACTCGATGGTGCGAGCGTACAAGYAGCACGTTAAACAATATTGTATTCASGCACGGGATGCAATGTTGAAATTCGTTGCTCGGAGGGCTGCCATCAYTGCTTCTATCTCAACAGTCATCGTAGAGAATGAAGAAATAACGGGGGTCAACCGCAAATTAAAAAAAATGAAGTTAACCACCAACTTCAACATCACGAACAGTGTACTCCGCCGAGCAAACGGTCTGAGCAACGACCTGGTTCACTTGCGCTGCTGTAGCACTTCTAGACATTTTGTGCCTTAGCACATGTAGACGGAGATGGCAATAGAGTAGATCATGCGCTTGTACGAGTGCTCATATCGTTTTACGTGTCGTCATGTGCTGGATTTTAGTTTTTTGAAAATGATGTAGAAGCGAATTTCCACCTTTTGTACGATCATGTACAACTGCACATATTCGTAGTGTAGAGGAGTGTATGAAGTATAGGGCAACAACTTTCATAGACATTGTCCTAGTCAAAGATTGAGAGATAGATAGATAGATAGATAGATAGATAGATAGATAGATAGATAGATAGATAGATAGATAGATAGAGAGAGAGAGAGAGAGAAACATGGAGTCTCTCTATGTATATATATTTCAGCGCACATGTATCATATGTCACATGAGTCAAAATCCGCATCAATGTTTCTTTGTATTTGTCTAAAGAAGTCAATTTTTTTTTTATATGGATTTCGAAAATATTCACATAACGTTGTTCGTAATTCTAGGGTGGAACAAAATGTCTCGAACTTTTKTAGATGTCCATGRAWTTTTTTKGTCATTGACTGGACATGCCATATGTATTTTTTAGTATGATATTCAATATGTTTATCTTGTCTTAATGCATTTGTCAATAAAAAACGAAAAACAACTGATATTATTTTGCGAAACATAGTAAATGCTAATTGATATGATAGAAGAGTACAATAAAACCCATCATAAAGACCCCTATAGCATCACATAATGCGAATGAAATTGTAACACCCCCCAAAATGTGTGAGAAAGCAATGTAAAACTTGTGGTCAATATGAGCACAAACTATAAACAAATGCGGGGTACCTACCCAAAATGGTGTGCTCAAAAAGTAAAAAATCACCAAAATCAGCATGAAAATGACAATTTCAATTTCGTTCAAAAAATATAAAATGTCCGTTTTGACGAAATCGCTGTTATTATCAGACTTTCGCTGCATACATGCTCATCCTATATTGGTTGATCTTTAGTTCTGCCCCAGACTTGTTGAAGTATTCACGAGTATGCAACAGTTTTGGTATCGGAGCAGACCAAACTATGGATCTGCTCACCAGGTAAGTCTGGTTAAGGAAAAAATTGTTTCTTCAATCTTCCAAATCAACTCTGTATTACTATCGAGATTCAAAGTTGCGAATTTTTTTTATTTTTCGGTATTCTGTTTACATCGGCATTCTGTTTCAATTCGTTATTCAGGCTTTCACTTCGGATTTCTGTTTTAATCCGGAATTTTATTTACTTTGGATTCCGATTAAGTACATTCTGGGTAACCCGACATTCTGTATAATTCGGATTTCTAATTTTTAATTCGTGATTAGGTTTAAATCAGTACTCCGTTTAATTCAACATGCTGATTTCAATTCGATATTCTGTTTTTATAATTCGGCATTCAGATTTTGATCCTGTATTTCGTTTCTAAATCGGCATTTTCCGTTTTATTTCGGGATTGGAAATTAGGGTTACGAAAATTTTCAATTTTCGAGCAATTCGGAAAATTTGAACGTTTTGGAACCGTAAAACCGAAAATTCCGCAGAAACGCGAAAAATTAGGGTTGGACTACGAAATTTTTGCAATTTTTTTTTTCTTTCCCTAAGTTTAAAGATTTCGAAAACGGACTTAGGTCTTTAAAAATCGGATTTTGTTGGGTGAAATTCCAGAAATTTTACGTTTTTCAAAAATTGGAGTGTTTTTCTTTCTAAATTTCTGAATTTTTTTTTGGCAAAACGGTTCGTAGTTATTCCCCCAGAATCGCAACTTCCGGGTAGTTCACTATGCAACAGTGAACTCTCGGACTATAGATGATCTCAACGGATACTTAATCTTTATAATTCAAATTCGAGAATTATCATTATTACAAGGGGTAACTTCGGCGCAGTCACGAAAATGGTTTGTAATTGCATTCCAAACACCTATTTGGCACTTTAGTCAGGGGCCGAGTTTCAATTGCAGTTGAAACTCGGCC